AATGAGCTGTTTTATTTGTTTATCAGTGCCATGAGATTAGCTTGCATACTAGTTGGTGCAAGTTATTTATTTAAATTGTGCTAGCATACTTGGCAGATTGCAAAGAATTTCTTGGGAACTCTTTGGTTCTCATGGGAGAGATTGGTGGTAATGACTACAATCTTCCCCTCTTTATGGGAAGAGATCTGGAAGAGATTCAAGACTTTGTGCCCCTTGTAATTGAGCAGATTGTTTCGGCTATCAGTGTATGATCCTCTTCTAAACGTCCAACTAAATGCCTTTTATGCAGCATGGCAAAACAAGGGCTAGTGGACATATGTTGTCAGTGACCTTCAAGACCATTCTCTTTAGGGCTTTCTCTGGCCTTTTTAACTTCTCTCTGTCAACAAATTATGGTATTTACCTAGCAAAAGCTAGAGAATGATCCTAATGTAAGTAAAGATAGAAAAGCATGGAGCTTGTCCTGCTCCATTGAACTGATATCTGTGATGAGACCTACGTTGATACTCTAATGAACTTTTCCATAAATATGCCTCTCCATGGTTTTGCTGCTCATATATTATGTAAATCGATTGCTCCTTTAAGGGGAAATCATAACTAATGGTATCTAAGTCCCTAATTATCTAATTAAGGCCGTGAAATGCTATTTTCTTTGCATGTATAGGGGTGCACATGATAAACTTAGAAAAACGACTTCTTAAATTGATGACCTCTAATATCAATAATGTTGGCTAGCTTACTTCAATTGAGGCATGTCCTGGTAAATGAGATGAAGATCCAGGGATCTGGTTTATCAATTAGAGAATCTCTCACCAGACCATATCACCAGACCATAACTTGCTGACTTTGAGTTCTTAAACTTATCATATTCATCTTATCACCTTTTTTTTTTTTTTGGTCGAAATCTTATCACCTTGAGATGCATCATTTTTCTCCTTTTCATATTGATGCAGGAGTTGATTCATTTAGGCGCAGTGACAATATTGGTGCCAGGAAACTTTCCAGTTGGATGCTTGCCTGTCTATTTAACAGAATTCCAGAGTTCCGACAAGGAAGAATATGATCCGTCAACTGGCTGCCTTAATTGGTTTAATGAATTCTCTCAGTATCACAATGAATGGCTCCAGATGAAGCTTGAACATCTGCGTGAGCTTCATCCCCGAGCGAAAATCATTTACGTGGATTTCTACAATGCTGCACTACGCTTTTATCAGTCCCCAAATAAATTTGGTAAGTTGCGTCTCCATAATGGACTCTTCCGTCAGCCCTCTCCCTTCTTGGTGCCTAGCGAAGCTCTTAATTTCCAGTCCCTGATGTGGCGATGGTCACTTATTTTCACCCAGAAGAAGTCAGTTAATCAACTACTTTTTCACAATGGAGATGACCGAGCGTGATAATTTATTTGATGAATGATTTCAAATATCATCCATGCTATTGATATCTTACTTGGTCTTTCAAATTGATTACCGACATTAACTGACACAAATTTCTTCTGTCAACTTATTGTGTCCACGGTTTTGCCACTTAATAGCATACCAACCAACACATTGTCGTATTGGCGGCTAATCTAACACTCCTTTTGAGCAGGGTTTGACGGCCGGGTACTTAGAGCATGCTGTGGAGGAGGTGGAACCTACAATTATAACATTTCGGCATTATGTGATTCCAGCACAAAGGTATGCGATGACCCGTCCTCGCACACAAGCTGGGACGGTCTCCATTTCACGGAAGCAGCATACAGATGGATTTTCAAGAGCATAGCGGATGGTCCGTTCACCGTACCTAAATGGGACATTTCTTGTCCTTCACTAGCCTTGAATGAGCATATGGATTGTCCAGTTCTGAGCAGCTAGACCACCTCATTTGCATTTAGACACATGATGTGCCATTGCTTTCATGGGGCGAACTGGTTTTTTTGTCTGTGCTGTGTATCGAATGACCTTCTGTATGGTCCTTTTGGCAAATTGCCTAAGAAATTATCAGCAAGAAAAGGATCATCACATCTGGAATCTCTGGATGTTCAATGATTCCTCTACTGATGCTCGTTTATAAAAAGAAGATGCTTACTGGTGTATGCATTGATAGAGTTGTAAAACAACTGAATTTTCAGTCGGATAGAACCTTATATAGTAATCATATAATTAACTCAAAAATTAGAAAATTTTAATCTAAACAGGAAGGCCAAATTCAAATGAACAAATAGCCCCGACGATCTATTGGGCGAACACTGTGGGATCTTTGCCTACGGCAATTGGTAGCCCTTGTCGATGGCGACCACCACGGTCGAGGCCGCCTCGGATGAAGTGGTCTTAGGAGATCATTGCGATGAATCTGAAAAACTACAATGCAACCATTGGGCTAGAGAGAAGAGAGAGACAGCAAGCAAGCGCTCAAGTGATGACAACGACCATCGCGGGGGATGTCGTCAGATGGGAGCTACGATCACCTCATGGCGGTCGCTAGAGATCGTCGTTGTGGAGGCAGCACCTGAAAACTGAACCATTGATTGGTATGGGCTTTGAGAGTTTGCGCCAAGTGTTTGCCAAGTAATTTAGTAGCTTTCCCTTGGGGGTTCATCTTTAGGAAGGTTGCGACAGCTTGATGGCTCTATTGGAAACTGGAGTTAAAACTCATAATAGACTTCGGCCATCTTTCCAAAAATATTTTTGTTTGGCACCGTAAAGACAAGGTAGCTAGTAAGGATATGTGTAAAATGTTCTTGCGGATGAGAGTCATAAGAGATGGGGTATTTGCTAACCCTTGTTTTGCAGAGAGGTTTTAGGAATGCATGCCTTAATACGATATTGAAGCGGCATTTTCTTTACAAACTATTGTGCATACTTTATATGCCATAGCACTACACTTATGCATACACATCCTAGCACCAGACCTAGATCGCATATTAAGGAAAAACACTAGGATGGATTGAGAGTATACAACTTTGTTCGTGAGACTGCGAGACTAAGGGCCGCCCTTTTCAATCCCGAACTTCCTTTCTTGGAGTCGAAAGTGCTTACCTTTGTCCGCGAGATTGCAAGACCATAGGGCGACCTTTTGACTAAGGTGGTGTCAAGAGGATTCACCTTAGCCTCGAGACGGTGTACTAGTTGGGTTACCCACTTGACCCCAATTGCTAGGCATTTAGGACATCTCACCTTTAAGTGTCATACCTCATAAGTATATGAGCATGTCTCTTAAATGAGCTCCTTTGTTATTTAAGGTTTCGATTGTACAATAATCATGGGTTGATTAATGGAGATTGTCTCCATTTGTCTATTTGTGGTTCTTTTAGAAGTGACTCATGAGAGGTTCTTTGTGCTTTTCTAAGTTCATTTACACTCATATGTAGTTCCTACCAAACAGATGATAGGATTTAACGGAATTCCTAAATTTCATATTCTTTCCTATGCAGTTCTATCATGATTAGAATTTCAAATGGCCAAACACAACCTACGAGTTCATAACCATATGTGCATGGCACCAAAGGTTACACAAAATGTACAAGAAAATATTAAGTGGTTCCATATCACCACATCAGCTACAGATGTGTCACGCATTTATGTGCCCATCCAATTTTAGCTTGACACATGAATTTGACTTGGAATCAAATTAAAAAACTAAAAATCCGATTTTTTTCTGTTCCTCCTCTATCCACCTCTCTCTTTCTCCTCCATCTACACCCGCTTTAAGCCACGAGCAATGACGAAAAGGGTTTAGATGACGCCGACGCAAAGCCATGGCCGCGAGCAGTCAGACTTCCAGATCTAGACATGAAGTAGCTTTGGCCTGGGGTTTAAATGACGCCGACTCCAGATCCATGGCCACAAGCATTCCAAATTTGGATTTGGGCGCTGCTACAAGTCTAGGTGAACGGCGTCGACTACCATGGAGAAGTGCCGGTGTCGCTTGAGCCTGGCTCATCCACCAGCTTGTCCATGGCCGCAACGTGCGAGGTTGAGATCCCCAATGGCCAATTCATCCATGGCCACGATGGGCAAGGTCGAGGTCCCGAACTTTGCCGTGCCTCCAAATCTGGCGAACTAGCTTTACATTTGGCCATGCCTTCGGGTCTTGCCACGACCGGCTCATCCATGGCCACAACGGGCAAGGTTGTCCTGATCTGGCGAACTTCCACATCCAAAGCTTCAAGTTTGCCTACAATCGGCTCATTCATGGCGGCAACGGGTGATGTCGAGATCCATGGCTGGTTGGTGATCCATACCAGACTCGTCCATGGCCGCAAGCCTTTGGCCAGTGGAAGAAGAAGAAGAAGAAACTTTTTATTTTTTCATTTAATTTTACATCAGCGGACACATGTCAACTTATAAATAGATATAATAATAGTGAAAGATGGGTCGTTATCACTATGGGTGATCGGTTACCAGTCCGGTTCAGTTCTCAGTTCCACCTTGGAATTGGACCGGAAAGACCGGTTCTCAATTTTGGGAACTGGGGACCGAACTGGTTGATACTAAGACATGGGAACTAGTCACTTTTTTTGTTTTTTTTCCAACCATAACGAGAGAGAGTGACAAATCTCAAGATATTGACCGAAGCAACAATGAGTTAGGAGTCAATGTGATGCGACCATAAAGGAAATCATTGTACGTGGATTTAGTTCACATTTTACTAATTTTTTTAAATAAACAAAAAAAAGTATATATAATCGGTCAAGTTCGATCGGTCCGATCTGGTCCAGTTCTCCTTTGGAACCGTAAATTGGACCTCCCGAACACCAATTTCAATTTTAGGAACCGGCAACCGGATCGATGCTCCGGAATCAAACAGTTCGATCCTGTCAGGATAATTTCCGATTTGGGTGGTCCCATTTGCACACCACTAGTTATCACCGAATATTTTCTCGGTATATGATAAGCCCGGCCAGAAAAAAATTATGTGGAGAAACACATAATATGCGCAGCGACAAGCGAGATGCCGACAGGACCTTTTTGACTTTGGCAATGTCAGTGGGGGCAGTGGCAACGGTAGTGGCAGTCCCTTTCACACCATCCCCGTCGCCAATCCGTGCGATTGAGATTGATCCCACCCATCTTCTCTCTCTCCGTCTCTCCAATGGCGTCGTGCATGGCGTCTTCCCTCTTCCTGAAACATCTGCTCCTCGTCGTCGCGCTTCCTCTCCTCATCTCATCCACCCCCGCCCCCGGATGCCACGACTCCATCATCAGCTTCGGGGACTCCCTCGCCGACACCGGGAACTTGCTCCACCTCTCCAGCTCCGACGGCCGCCCGACGGAAGCCGGCTTCCTCCCCTACGGCGAGACGTACTTCCACCGCCCCACCGGCCGCTTCTCCGACGGCCGCCTGGTCATTGATTTCGTGGGTGAGTCGGGAAAGTCGTCGCTGAAAATGGGGTTCGGCTCGAACCCGGGTCCGCCTCGATTTTTCGTGAGTTGCTTGAGAAATTTTTGACGGGGTCTGATGGTGCGATGGTGTCGCGACTTGCAGCGGAGTGGCTGGGCCTTCCGTATGTGGCTCCCTACTACGGGGACGACGGCGGACGGAGCGTGGCGGATTTCGGGAAGGGCGTGAATCTCGCGGTGGCAGGCGCGACGGCGCTCGATGCGGGCTTCTTCGAAGGGAGGGGGATGGGCAACAGTTTCCCGAATGAGTCTCTGGGAGTTCAGCTGGGCCTCTTCAAAGAGCTCTTGCCTTCTCTGTGCAACACATCTTCTGGTAAGTCCTGCTCTGTCAATGTTAAAGAATACGTTGAAGCCCCTGGAAAGTCCAAATTTTACAATTTAGCCCCGGGAAGGGTGGAAAAGTGAAAGATAGATACATGGTATTGCTAGTCATGTCACTTGGCGAATCGGTATTGTAAAATTGCTTCGGTGATGCAGCATCGATGTCGGACTCATGTTAGTCCCAATTTACGGAGAAATTACATCGGCAGCTCGTTTGGCCAGTTTGTACGATTTTTAGTCATTGATCTTTATATGCATTGAGCTTGGATCACAATCCTGCGCGGCTGCGCGTAACTAAACTGAATCACGACATAATTGTATCGTGAAAAATACAATCCAAAGTGACTCAAAAATAACCTGCGGGTTCACTCCCAAGTTCAATGCAGTCAGAGACCAGAATCACAGGAAATTGAAAGTCTAAAGGTCCAAGATCACGGGAAATTGAAAGTTAAAGGAGCAAAATTTAGTTCCAAGAACTTTACTGCAGGAAGGATAGAAGTTCAGGGATCAATCCCTTAATAAATTCAGACGTTTCAATTTTTCTGCATTCTTTTCTTGCAGCAAGGATTCAATCTGCTGATGACTCAATGACACTGGGTATAGTTTGTTGAATTAAGTAGTGTAATCCTAGATCCAAAATGGTCTGTACTTAAATCTCAAGGCCTCTACTCATCGAAGCATTAAGTTTATGTATACAGATTTGTTGGTTAAATTCCTTGGCATCCGAATTACTTGGCAGATTGCAAAGAATTTCTTGGGAAATCTTTGGTTCTCATGGGAGAGATTGGAGGCAATGACTACAATTATCCCTTCCTCATGGGAAGTGATCTGGAAGAGATTCAAGACCTTGTGCCTCTTGTACTTGAGGAGATTGTTTCGGCTATCAGTGTATGATCCACTTCTTAACTTCTGGGCTAAATGACTTTTGTGCAGCATAGCCAAAACAGGGGCTAATGAACATATCCTCTTAGTGACCTTTAGGACCATTCTTTTTAAGGCTTTCTCTGGCCTGTAGAACTTCTCTCATTGTCAACAAATTATGGTATTTAGCTAGCAAAAGCTAGAGAATGATCCCAATCTAAGTAAAGATAGAAAAGCACGGAGCTTGTCCTGCTCCATTGAACTGATATCGGTGATGAGACCTACATTGATACTCTAAAGAACTTTACAATAAATATGCCTCTCCATGTTTTGCTCCTGATATAATATATAAGTTTGTTGCTTCTTAAGGGGAATTAGTAATTACCTTAATGTTATCTAAGTCCTTAATTTTATTAATCTTTAATCAGGCCGTGAATGCTATTTTCTGTGCATGTACAGGTGTGCAGATGACAAACTTACAAAAGCAATAACTTCTTAAATCGTTCACCTATAATGTCAATAACGTTGGCTGGCTTACTTACATTGAAGCATGTCCTGGTTAATAAGATGAAAATCTGGCTATCTAGTTTATCATCAAGAGAATCTCTTGCATGACCATATCTTGCCAACTTTTAGTTCTTCAACTTATCATATTTATCTTGTCACCTTGAGATGCATCATTTTTCCCCTCTTCCTGCCATATGGTTGCAGGAGTTGATTGATTTAGGTGTAGTGACAATATTGGTGCCAGGAAACTTTCCGATTGGATGCTTGCCTGTCTATTTAACAGAATTCCAGAGTTCAGACAAGGAAGAATATGATCCGTTAACTGGCTGCCTTAATTGGCTGAATGAATTCTCTCAGTATCACAATGAACAGCTCCAGAGGAGGCTTGATCATCTACGAGAGCTTCATCCCCGAGCAAATATTATCTACGTGGATTACTACAATGCTGCACTCCGCTTTTATCAGTCGCCAGATAAATTCGGTAAGTTGCATCTCCATAACAGACTATTCCATTAGCCCTCTCACTCCTTGGTGCATAGTGAAGCTCTCACTTTCTGATCCCTGATGTAGCGATGCTCACTTAGTTTCATCCAGAGGAAGTCAGTTAATCGACTACATTTTCACAATGGAGATAACCAAGCATGATAATTTGTTGGATGGATGATTTCAAAATTTCAGTCCTGCTACAGATATCTTATTTGGTCTTTCAAATTGACAACAGACAATAACTAATGGACGCAAATTTCTTCTGTCAACTCATTGTATCCATGGTTGGCCAGTTAGTAGCATACCGATTAACACATTGGTTGTATTGGCAGTTAATTGAACACTCCTTTTGAACAGGGTTCGATGGCGGAATACTTAGCGCATGCTGTGGAGGAGGAGGAACCTACAATTATAACTTGTCAGCATTGTGCAATTCCAATGCGAGGGTATGCGATGACCCGTCCTCATATGCAAGCTGGGACGGCATCCATTTCACGGAAGCAGCATACAGGTGGATTTTCAAGAGCATGGCGGACGGTTCATGTACTGTACCTAAATTGGACATTTCTTGTCCTTCAGTAGCCTTTGAATGAGCCTGCATTAATCAACTCTGAGTAACTAGCAACCTCATTTGGAAATAGATACACGATATGACATTGTTGCATGGAGTGGAATGGTGTTTGGTCTGTGCTGCATGTGAAATGACCTTCTGTATGGTCCTTTTGGCAATTTGCTTAGGAAATTATAGGCAAGAAAAGGATGATCACATCTAGAAGGGACAGATATTTCTTGCAAGAAGTGATCAAATTATGTCTTTTTATTTTTATTTTTGCGATGATTAAATTTAGTTCAATGATTGCCAATGTCCATCAAATTTCTGCCGATGAAAAGGACACATAAATGGAAGCAAAATGCAGGAGGAAAGGAAATAAGGTATGAAGTTATGCAGCATCGGAAATATAATAAGTGTGCAAGTCCATTGTCCGGGTAAATTACCATGGATGGCAGGGGGCGGGTATTATTGGTTAATTGATCAATCCAATTCCTAATGGGATGGAATCGGTTTGGGAAACGGGGACGGGTTTGGAGTCTACTACTAAGATATTTTTTTTTGCGATGATTAAACTATGATTAATACGTCGGTCACATTTTCGTTATTTGCTTGAATCACAACACCTGCATATATTCAGTATCTTAGCCAAACAATCATTTAACAGATTCCTTTCAGTCGGAACCTTAAGGCTTATCTCGTTGATGTGCTTTGAATACATATACCACAATTCAAACTCTCGAACAATGCATCTGACGTCTCTGTGGCAAAATCCGTCATCATCCCACCTCGAAGCTCATTCAGGGCCACTGTACTTAGTTCCTTTCGTTATCACCAAGGCACCTCGGACAGTTTTCAAAACTCCATCTTCTAAAGTATAACGACACTCAATTGAATCCAAGGCACTCAAGGAAAATCAAATTCTTCTTCAACTCTCGAATATGCCTCACTCCAGTCAATGTCGTCATGATACCATCATGCATTCTAATATCGTCAACACCTAAAAAATCGCACTTAGCGTCGTTCCCCAACTGCACTTTACCATTATTTATGATGCATTGATAAGTTGCTCACCAGTTCTTGTTCGGTGTAGCATGAAACGAACAACTATAATCTATAATCCATCCATTATATGACAAATCATCAACAACAAACAAGACATAATCCACATTATCCGAATGACATTCAGCTACAACTACAATATAATTAGTAGACTCAACTTTAATGGTTACCTTTCGCATTCTTCAACTTAAAACAATACCTTCTAAGATTACCCATGTAGCCACAACTCCATGGTCGTTCACTCTACACCTACAATAAACGAGTATAAGTTCTCCCTCTATTTTTATCTACTAAAGCAGCAACCACAAGTTTACCAAATTATTTTCTACGGATGTTTTCACTAAGAATCAAATCACGAACCACATCAATTGTCAAACTTCTTGACCTAGAGGAATTATTAATAATAGTAATAGCAAAATAAGAATAATGAATTAGTAGAGAAAAAATTTTACCCCGTTGATTCAAATCTCGTAGATGAAGATGTGCATGGACCTAAAACATTACAAAGTCAATTTAGGAAAACATGACTCAAAGTTAGAGTAAAAAAACGATTTTCGATCGATTTTTTATACAAATTTTACCTAATATAGCTCCAACATTTGGTTCATTAAGAAAATTCAAACAACCACGAGAGACTTGACTCTACATCATTTCATACGAATAAAAAGTCAATTTATAGTAATGTATTTTATTTCAAAACAAAATAATAATAAGTACTTGCAACGATTGAAAAGTTGCAATGAAGTTGGGAACAATATCCACATAATCTTTTTCGTTGGCCAGAGAATAATATCCACTATTTTAAAGGTTGCAATTGAATTATTGGTATATTTCTTATTATTTGAATATTATATTTGTTTCTGTAAATAAGACAAGAAAATCATTATATTCTTATAACTTTTTTATATGGAAAATGTATTTTTATATAATAAAAATAGAAAACCTGCTAAGTTTCTTTTTTGGTTGCAGAAACCCGTTAAGGTGCGAATGATAATAATTTTATTCGCGAAATATATTTTTGGCCAAAAATAGATTTTTCTATTTCTATTTTTTGGACGAGTTTATGAATAGAGATACATATTTGATAACGACACAAAATTTCTCTTCCTGAAACATAAATTCATTTGATAGGCCTTCTTAAATATCTCTCTTTTGCTCTTTTCCATTTATTGATGGGTGGCAGCTGGCGATCAATGGTGGTGACTAATGGTGGCGGAAGGTGGCGTCGGCCAACGGGGGGTAGTGGCAGCCGACGGCGAGCAGTAGGAGGGGGTAGCCAGCGAGCGGCTAGGCGGGGGTGGCAGCGACTGACGACCGGCCGCTTGCAACGGGAGGGGAGAGCGAGCGATGAGAAGAGTTTTTATTTTTCTTTTTATTTCAAAAATAGAAAATTGAAAAAAAAATTACTTATCATTTCTATTCCAAACTTATTTCTAGACTAAAAGTTTGTTCTAGAAATAGAAAAATAAAATTACTTTACTAAATAGAATTTTGTTCTAAATTTGTTCTCAAAAATTAAAAAATAGATCTGATTAGATGATTGTCATGCACGCCGTAAGTAACTTTTCCGCTTTGAAAATGGAAAATGTGTAGATGTTTGACCGTGTGCTTTCCAAATTTGTACATGAGTTTTGACCACCCGGCCAATAGAATCATTCGGAAAACGACATAAGATGCGAAGCTGCAGACAAGAAGACGACAGAACCTTTTGAGTTTTGGCACAGCAATGGCAGTTCCTTTCACCACAACCACCGCCCATCTGCGCCATTGATTCCATCCCTCTTCCCTCCCTCTCTCCAATGGCGTCGTGCACGGCGTCTTCCCTCTTCCTGAAAGCAGCTGGCCCTCGTCCTCGCAGTTCCGCTCATCGTCTTCTCGTCCTCCCGCGCCCTCGGATGCTACGACTCCATCATCAGCTTCGGCGACTCGCTCGCTGACACCGGGAACTTGCTCCACCTCTCCCGCTCCGACGGCCGCGCGACGGAAGCTGGCTTCCTCCCCTACAGCGAGACCTACTTCGGCCGCCCCACCGGCCGCTTCTCCGACGGCCGCCTGGTCATCGATTTCGTGGGTGAACCGGGAAAACCGTCGCTGAGAACGGGATCCCGGCCCGAATCGGATTCGCGCGATTTTTGTGAGTTGTTCTGAGGGGAATTTTTTTGACGGGTTCTGATGGTGCGGTGGTGTCGCGACACTTGCAGCTGAGCGGCTGGGGCTTCCGTACGTGGCTCCCTACTACGGGGATGACGGCGGACGGAGCGTGGAGGATTTCAGGAAGGGCGTGAATTTCGCGGTGGGGGGAGCGACGGCGCTCGATGTGAGCTTCTCCGAAGGGAGGGGGATGGGCAACAATTTCCGGAACGAGTCTCTGAGGGTTCAGCTGGGCCTCTTCAAAGAGCTCTTGCCTTCTCTGTGCAACACATCTTCGGGTAAACTCTTTATTGTCTCTCTCTTGAACGCAGAGTGCAGTATTCATTCTGAATTTGAGTTCAGTATATGAACTAAATACTGCGTTCTAAATTGGATCTGGATCATCGAAAATGGCGGGTCATGTGGGTTTCACATTGAGTTTAGTATGTGATACAGGTTCTTGGAGTACCTGTAGCTGTAAACACTGTGTCTCCAACTCAGTTTTTTTTGTGGTAATTCCATGAAGGTGCATGTTATTAAAGATGGAGGGTCCAATTGTCGCTTAGAAGGGCTGGCCCTTCTGCCTTCGCACTCGAGGGTTAATCTCCCTCCGGCAATAACTAATAGAATGTGTGGTTGTATACATCTCGGACTTGCATTTGGTACACCGGCTAGGTTCATCATTTGGCACATATATAGTTTTAATTAATGTACCTAATAAAAATCTCTCGCTCTTCTATTATTGTTGTAGGTGTCTTAACTTGTGAAGTAGTTTTGCTTTATGAGCAGATAAATCCCGTTCTGTCAATACTAAGAATACATTTAAGCCGTAGAAAGTACAATCTTTACTAGTTAGCCCCTGGAAGGGTGGAAAGTGAAAGATACGTCCTGTTACTAGTCATGTCCCTTGGCGGATTGGTAATGTAAGTGGTTTTGGTAATGCGGCATCGATCTCAGATTGATGTTAGTCCCAATTATGGAGAACATCCATCGGATCGATGTTAGTCATTGACCTTGTTTGCAATGATTTATCAAGATGCTTCAAGTAACCAAATTGAATCATCACATATTTGTAAAATGAGAAGAACAATCCAAAGTGACTCAAAAATACCCGTAGAGTCACTTGGACGATTCATCACCCAAGTTCCATACAGTCAGAGACCAGAATTGCACAAAACCGAAATTTTAAAGGTCCAAGATCACAGGAAATTGAAACTTTGAGTAAAATTTAAATCCGAAATCAAGACTTAACTGCAAAAACGATAAAAGTTTAGGGATCAGTCCCTTATTAATTCAGTTAGTTTGCCAGACAAACCATATTTCACCTTTTTTGCTTTCTTTTCTTGCATCAAGTATTCAATCTACTGACAGATCCAAAATGGTTTATAATTGAATCTCAAGCCCTCTTCTCATTAAAGTATTGAGTTTATGTATACAGACATGTCGGTTAAATTCCTTGGCATCCGAATGAGCTGTTTTATTTGTTTGTCAGTGCCATGAGATTAGCTTGCATACTAGTTGGTGCAAGTTCTTTATTTAAATTGTGCTAGCATACTTGGCAGATTGCAAAGAATTTCTTGGGAACTCTTTGGTTCTCTTGGGAGAGATTGGTGGCAATGACTACAATCATCCCCTCTTTATGGGAAGAGATCCGGAAGAGATTCACGACTTTGTGCCCCTAGTAATTGAGGAGATTGTTTCAGCTATCAGTGTATGATCCTTTTCTTAACTTCCAAGCTAAATGCCTTTTATGCAGCTGGCAAAACAAGGGCTAATGAACATATGCTTTTAGTGACCTTCAAGACCTTTCTCTTTAGGCTTCTCTGGGCTTTTTAACTTCTCTCATTGTCAACAAGTTATGGTATTTACCTAGCAAAAGCTAGAGAATGATCCTAATTTAGGTCGCTGGTCCTGCTCCATTGAACTGATGTCAGTGATGAGACTACGTTGATGCTCTAGAGAGCTTTTCAATAAATATGCCTCTCCATGGTTTTGCTGCTCATATATTATGTAAATTGATTGCACCTTGGGAATTAATGATCATCAAGAGAATCTCTCACAAGACCATAACTTGCGGGCTTTTACTTCTTGAACTTATCATATTCATCTGACCACCTTGGGATGCATCATTTTTCTCCTTTTCATGCCATATTGATGCAGCAGTTGATTCATTTAGGCGCAGTAACAATAATATTGGTGCCAGGATACTTGCCAATTGGATGCATCCGTGTCTATTTAATAGGATTCCAGAGTTCAGACAAGGAAGAATATGATCTGTCCACCGGCTGCCTTAATTGGTTGAATGAATTCTCTCAGTATCACAATAAACAGCTCCAGATGAAGCTTGATCATCTGCGTGAGCTTCATCCCCAAGCGAAAATTATATACGTGGACTACTACAATGCTGCACTCCGCTTTTATCAGTCCCCGATAAATTCGGTAAGTTGTGTCTCCATAATGGACCCTTTCATTAGCCCTCTCCCTTCTTGGTGCATAGCAAGGCTCTCACTTTCCAATCCTTGGTATGAAAGAATTTCAAGGATTCAATTGGGTTGTGACCGCCAAAGTGGCACACTTAATTAGGTTTGAGAAATATCGATCTCATATTGTGGTGGGATGTCTCATGTTCTAATGCATGGTCATACTCCCAAAGGAGCTGATTGTGTATTGGTTCATGGAGGGTCACATGTATAGCATATGGTTGAGGATCGACTAATCCTAGTGGTTCATACACCCAAAGATGGGGAATGCACGAAGGTTGGAATATATTCTCATGGCGGCTGTCATGTAAAGACTATACAACTGCATGCCATGTATTTTGCCAAAGGTGATTATATGATAATGTGTGTAACTCTTAAGATGTGTACTTATACGGTTTCAAGTTACTCGGTACTCATATGATGCTAATTACAAACATTGTTTGTTTTTTAGTTACCTTCTCTGTAAATGGCAACTCCATTACGATTGAGGTTATCATCGGTTCAAACTTTAAGAAATAGAAAGAGAATTTTCAATTTAGGATAGAGATGGCGGATGTTCATATTGCTCTTACTGGGGATAAGCCGCAGATCTTACTGACTCCAGTATGGAAGCCCAGAAAGCACACTTTGCTGCCTAGGAAAAGAGCAACAGGATTTGCTTCTTATCTATAAAATGATCCATTTATGAATACTTGAAGAGTGGTTTGCCAGCTAACTGCACTACTAGACAAATGATGGAAGCTTTGGAGGCTAGGAACCGTGTCTCGTTTAATGCTGAGACTGGGACATATCTACAAGGACTTTTCAATATGAGCTATGATGGTTTTGGTGGAGTTAGGGATTACATCCATAGGATGGTAGACCTGCGGATAAAACTTCAGACTCTTCAAGTTACTATCCTGATACATGCATTGCGCATCATGCCCTAAACACCCTTTCACCTGATATTTGGGATTATCAAGATAAATTACAACCCCCAAGATGAGACCTGGTCAATTAATGACCTAATAGCTAAGGTGGTGGTAGAGGATGAGAAACTGAAGAAAGAAAGAGGGCACCTTGCCATGTATGCCTCTAGTTCCAGCGGTAAGGAGAGTAAGAGGTCCAAAAATCGTATTTATAAAGGAACTCACGAAACCACCGGTCATTCTGACGATTTGGGTTCCAAGAAGGCATCATACAAGAAGGATAGTTGTGACATCCTAAAAATTTCGTCCGTTAATTTAATGAGCGTACGTAACGGAATGTTATGTGGGAATTTAAATAACCGTCGACGATCTACGGAAGCGTCAACTTCGGAAGACTCGGATATTATCACGAAAACACCATACCATCATCTTGTCAACCACCGCAAGACCACCCTACAATTATCTATCATTTCAGTCGTTAACGTTGTGTTACGAATTAACTGTCCTGACCTTATCATGTCCTTCGTTCACACTAGGAACTTTAGTCACATTATCCACCCGAGTTGAATTCTTGCACGCCATTTCTTTTTTCCACCGACTTCATGCAATAAATTTACATGGTTAGCCCATTCTTCTGCTTTTCCATCTTCCACGCCATCACCAACACTTCATCCACTTTCAATCATTCGGTCAATACATTATTCTGTCATTCTAAGTTCTCACGCCAATTGCTTACTCTCACTAACAACAGCATCACCACCACCGCCAGCTGCTCTTTCCCTTGCATCACCACAACCACCTGCCCATTTCTTTTCTCCTATCAACAGCTTTGCTCTTCTTCAATCAACCGGCGAAGGAGATCAATCCAGTTAAGCCACCAAGTCTCTGATTTTTCCTTCCCTCTCGCCGACTTCTTCTTCTTCTTCCCTTCTCATTCTGTACTGCCCAAAACAGAACCTCCCCCTCCGTTGTTTTTCTTCTGTTCCGAATCAATTTCATTGCCCGATACCACCAGCTTGCTGTCCATCCTCGCGAGCCGTTTCCAGACCTTCACGCCGCCAACTTCCTTCTCACCGTGGGCATGAGGTGCGACGAAAGGCTTAAGGATAATTTGCTGTGGTTCTCTTTCCCTTTCTGGACCACGCCGTGCCGTATTCAGCCATTAAGGCAAGTGAAATTCTGCCTCCCTATGTCAGATCAGAATGGTTTGCATGTTGAATTGGTTGTAGGTATAGGATATTGATGGAAATGGATGGTGGTGATGGAAATTAGCTTCTGGTTGTGGGTGTTTTTGAATACCAAATTCGTGTAGATCAAGTTTTGAGTTGTTCTTGAACTTGAGTTGTGATTTTCAGATTCGGTTTCTGCTAGACCTTTACCGCTTTCCAATTTTGTAGAGATTTCTGTGGTTCGAATCTTGCAATACTTTCTTCATGAAAGTTGTTCAAAACATCTGGGAGTATAACGTATTTTAATTTCATAATTTTTGGAGTTATTTTGGGTAGTATAAATGCCAAATCTCCAACCCGTGCTAGACTGCCCGGGTGCTCTGTTTCAGTGACCTTTCCACGTTCTTGATTTTTTATAAAATTTTCTAGAATGATTATGAAAAAACTTCCTTCACAAATTTTCTTGAGAACTTATTCCTATCAACATATTTAAATTTGAGAATTTTTGGAGATGGTTTGGTTACTGAAATGAGCTCATGTTCAGAAGCAAGAATTCTGTTCCAATAAACAGTTTTTAGTCTGACTTTAAGCTCCTGAACGAGGTATTTACAGAAATAATTAGACTTTTAATCCCGCATGAAAATTGTTTATTAAGGTGTTCTCCGTAACATATTTAAATTCCATAACTAGGATGAGAATGCCCTAGATACCCCGGGAGTTTGATCGGGATGCTGTGGTCAGTGGATCATGAAGCCTGCGTGGGCCGTTGAGAATTTCGGCGTACACCGCGGCGGATCGGAGTGCGCACCGAACCCTGCCAGATGGGAGTTTTCCTCCTTGCGTGTCCGGCGAGCGTACTGGGTATGTGACTTGGAGTGAGATAATGATACCCAAACAAGAGTGAAGTTGTGTGTGTATGTTTGAATCGTGCTGTTGATTATGATTGCTAAGTTAAAGGATCACACTTGAGATGATTACTAGCATGGGCACAACAAAATATGATTCTTGTGATTAGTACGTTCAGCTAGAAGACTATTATACCTATGCCTGTTGATATGCATTTGATTCTTGTTTGGTATAGGTTGAAGGACATTTTACTTGTTGAGCTTAGCTCACTATTGTTGTGATAAACTTTTACAGATCTGTAGCCGTGTTGATACTTCCCCCATCGACCTCCATTAGTTATGGAGCACATCTTGATTTCGAGAGTCATCTGTCTAAGCTTGTGGATCCTAACCTTCCAGAGATGGTTTTTGTTAGATGTATTTCCATTCTGACTGTGGACATTGGGCCCCCAGTGGGACCTATACTGTTGGGGTTCGTAGCCATATATGTTCGTACTAGAGGGTTCAATTTTACCAATTTAATCATAAACCTCTGCGGGAAATTCTAACACAGTCCTTTTTATCAATTTTTGCTAGCAATCGCCAATGTGGTGGTGTGCCACATATGACAGTTGGCGATGACCGGACTACCACGTTAGCGGTTTCAAGTGAAAATTGGCCGGAAAGAGTACATTAGAATTTCGCATAAAGGTTCATGACCAAATTGGCAAAATTAAAAAGTTTAGAACTGAATTGGTATCCGCGTAATAAATTTAGGGCTGATTTGTTGATTCCCTATGCAATAGATTTCTTTCTTTGTCCCCACCAAGTAGTGTCATCTTGCACAAAGTCAGGACTCTGTGCAAGATTCTCTTTGAAGAATGTCCAGTGATGAGGAGAGGTCTAATCGAGTCTAGTCGAGTTGGTGTGGTTTAATGTTTGAACCAGACTGGAATCCAAAATTCAAAACAGGACACTCGATTTAAACTCGGTCTCAATAAAGCTCAACTTTTCTAGATTGAGTTTGGCTCACGAAATTATTTTATAGGTTTGAAATAAATTGATTTCATTCGACTTGTTTATTGTAAATGAGCTTTTGTCGGAGCTTCATTCAAGTTTGAGCTCAAATTCGGCAATCGTAAAATCCGAATTGATGAGGACAATATTGTAAAATGCTTATGTTAGTTGTAGGACTGATGATGTTACTTTCTTTGTGGGCTCATGTGTAGCGAATAGGAGCAAAAGCGCGTTTGTATTTTTTGGCTTTTCTTTAATCGTTTGCCGATTTTTTTTGATCATTTTTTATCAGAAAATCATTCACTTTAAAGAGTTTAGTGAAGATAAATTTAAAGCTCAAGAGCATAGCAAATCATAAAGGACTGACAAGGAATATATAATCCAATTATAAGATAGGCAATTCATTCACCGGGCCTTAGCAATTCAGTCCGCAATTTTGTTAGTGTCCCTTCTACAATGGGCCAGAGAAAAGCCCGAGAAACTCCTCATAAGCTTCGGGGTCCGGTCGACAATTGCTTGTGCTGCCCATGGTGGCTGAACAGTACCAAGAACACTTTCCACGAGTACTTTGCAGTCAAGTCTCCACACTTAGCTTCAGTTCAGATCGGGGAGAGAGATAAAGTAGAGGGTTTCAAGTAACGCCATTTGCTTCCGCTTGTTCAGCCGAGTCCACGTCCACTCATTTTGCAAATCCATCCACCGGTCATCCGTATGAGTCCCGATGGACACACGCGATGGCTCCTCTCGACGAATCGGCTACAAATGAGCTGTCTGATGTTTGATCTTTAGAGCCCCCTGGATCTTGGGGTTCCCGATTTTGGGGTAAGTCTTCGATTCGCATCTATTTCTTCTTCGTGTTCCCTGCCCAAGCTGCGATATTCTCATTTATAGCTGTGGCCGTGATGACAAAGGTGCTTCGGACCTGGGGTTTGCTTTCGAAAAATGAGTTGATTGGGAGCTTTCCAAATGAACCCGAGGATGTCGCTATGAGTTCAAAGGCCGATGAGGTTCGTGGGTCTTCTTTCATTCTGACCAGCCACTCGTCGAATCGAGTTAAACCCCCTTCTATTTATGCTGATGTTCATGGACGCCTCTCGCCAAACCTGGGATGTCCAAGGACACAACAGTTTGAACGTGCTCGATCGTTTCGACTTCTTGCTTGCACACTGCACGAATGGGTTCAGGTACCACCTTCTTCTTATAGAGATTATCCAATGTGGGCAATGCGTTTTGACAGGCACTCCATAAGGAAAAATTTTGGTTTTGGGGGATAGTTTTGGATTGTCCACGCATAGTTCCATAGCTCTGG